ATATACACGGTGCCAAATCCCAGAAGACTGCTTTCTTCATCGCTCTCGAACTTAGATCTTCGGCCCTGAAATTGAGGTAGTAAATTCCTCCGAAACGTCCGAAAATTTCCAGATTACATGGCATCACAGTTCTGTTCAGCCTATTCAGTGTACTGGCTGGCCAATCTGTCAAACTTCTTTTAGCCTTGGAAAACTTCGTTGCTAAAACGAGGAAGGGTTTGAACAAAAACTTGAAGAAACATCTTGGTGCAGTCTCTTTTAAAAGATAGGAGCTCTTGATGGGCGGCTGGAGGCTTGCGTATGGAGCAATCACTGCTGAAGGGTTCCCGGGGGATGCGGAGGGTGGAGAAGATGAAGGCCTCCACAGAACTGCAGACTTAGATATAAACCAAGTCAGTTTCGTGTATATTTCCAGTAACCGGAGACCATCTGACAAGATGGAGTTATCTGGTTGCTTTCCTTGGTCCCCTCAGACAAGTTAGAGTCCCTTAAATTCGGCCAAGGCCGATCAGTTCCACATCCGTACCAATTCATTATTTACTAATCCCCTTATCATTTGACAGTTTATATCACGAGCAATTAGTAACGCCATTAAATATATCGTAAATAAAATGTTCCTCACTCCCTCTCCGCAAATCCCGGTATAGTAACACAGAGTAGGCCAGGACCACTTCCTTTCGCATGCGTTCCAATCCACTGTTAACCGACCATCCTATCATCTGCCGCCATATATATTCTGATCAGGTGACAGTGTCGTTAAATAAATCATAAATATATTTCTTCTGGCTCCTCCTAGGTAAATACAGTGATAGTACCTCAAGCTAGGCCACGGTTACTGCCCTTAAGATCCTTTCAGTTCATTATTCACTAATTGTAACGGTTTTGATCAACACGTTGCCAGGCAACAGCTCTGTAAACATGGTCCAACACGCAACAATAGAGGAGGCTGTGTTTTCCGTGCCCGCGGTGACGTCACACAGCGGTGGGTGGTGGTCACGCGATATTTTTGTCTGTGATGTGTGCCCGTTCCTTGGCTATATAAGTGAGAAAATATATTCGGTTCAGAGACGAATCAGTTCTCGATAGGAAATAGCTACGGGTAGTTGGTAGTTGGTAGTTGAAGGAGAGCGAATTGGATCTAGGACCACAGAAGAGTTAGAAGTCGGCCTGTGAAGACTTACCGTGTGATTTGAAGATCTTATTTGCCTGCAATATTTGGAATGTATAATTCAGTGAGACTGTTACAGTTCGTCTGTTATAAATCCGTTGCCAGGAAATAGATAGTGAAGGCTAATGGAAACAGACTGAGAAGATTAGTGTGGCGTGACTGTAAATTGCGTAAAGCGGCAATAGTTTAATAATTAATTATAGTTACGACCTGTAGGTTATTAATAAATCCAATTACCAATCCGAACCCCGTCTTTAGTCACTGTGACACGCGACAGTATCATTCAACGATATATAGCTTGAACTAGAGACAGCATCGTTAAATAAGTAATAATTAAATTGTCATTGTTCATTCCAGGTAAATACAAGAATAGTACCGTTTCCTTTCAGATCCTTTTCGATATGTTGCTCATTAATCATCCTATTATTCCGTACCATGTAATCTGAACTGATGATAGCTTCATTAAAATAAATAATAAAAATATTGTCTTTACCTTCTCGAAGCAATTGCCAGGAAATTAGGGCATGGCCGTTTCTTTCACATCCTCTCCAAATCATTATTCATTAATAACCCTAGCATTTAACGTTATATAGTCTGACCCAGTGACAGAATTTTTAAAAAATTAAAATGAATAAATAAAACTGCCCATTAGTATTCGCTTTTCGTGTCGACTGATGCCGGTGTATAAACACACAGACTTGGGCCACTGGGGGTACACGTATAATTTCTTACCACGGATTACATGCTCGTTGAAGGCCACCAACGCTGTTTTTAACTTGTGGCTGGAAATTCGATTTTCTCTCCCCCTTTTTGTCTCTAGATTAGCCTCATTTTACTTTACTTCTTTTAACTTTGTCTTCAGAGTCAGGATAATCTAGTTTTTTGTAATTTTCTCCAACTTCCCAAGAGTCTATTTTGCCATTAAACTAGACGCAGTTTCGATAAGATGGGCAGTTGTTATTACAAGAGAAGAGAACAGAAAAACGGACTAAAACTTTGAACGGGGAAACTAGGCCAATGCTCCTCAGAAATGCTAAGTTTATTTTTCATGGGAAGCTAATCTTCTTCGCACTTTGTTTAATATGGAAACTTGTAAAAAGTTCATCATCTAAAAATATTACGGTTCATGTTAAATACCTCCCGTTATTGTCATGAGATTCCCTCTCTGAAAACAGAATGGGAGGGGGAACTGAATAGCAAAGGCGAGCAGCAGCCGGGTTCGACTATATAACGACCGTTACTAGGCAGCGGTCCTTAAACAGCAACAGAGGAAATGTGTTCTCTGTGCGGTCCGTACCGAGATGTTATAATCAGGGATAGTTAGCTGAACAGTGAGAGCATAATCTTTACTTGTATCTACGAGTTACAAGTTACGACTTGTATAAGAGTCAAATTCTATTTCCAATCCAAACCCCGTCTACAGTCACTCTAAAATCGTGACAATATTAATAGAGTAAACTCGGAGATTACAGAAGGGGATTTGTTCTTAAAAATATGTCCGTAAAGTCAACCTTATACAGGGTATACACAAAAGAATGGTGCGGCTTCAAAAGTTAATAAAAAATGTATTTCTCAACTTACACGGTCACAATACTTACCGTCAGCGGCGGCAACTGTCCAAGTTTCTCATGCGCTAATTATAAACCTCCAATGTCTGCACCCTGGATCACACGGCACACATCCACACGGTAATCAAACTCTGCTGC